GGTCAACTTGTTTATTTATAACGTGAGAGAATCCCAGAAGACAAACGTTGAGAAAACTCATCAATGACATCGGTATCTGTGGTAAAAACAATGTGGTGTCACATACCCACAGGAACAAGTTGTATCGGAGTAAAGATGTAAACAGATTTTCAATTCAACTTTATTGACAGCACCAAATCACAACAGCAGTCGTCTCACGGCGCTTTACATTGTAAGGCAGACCCTACAATAACACACACATGACTGAAGGTGATTAAAAACAGTTCCTACTTCATCGAATACAAAAAAGGAGAATAAACAAATGTGACGGTAAAATGATGAGCAGCCGTAAAGAAAATGTAAATTATCAGAATATTTTCATAGCTGCTCTCAGGTATTGTTTTTAGAAAAGGTTAAACTGGTTATTTGTCTAAAGGACTTTTTAAAAATTAACTTGACTCGAGGAGGAAAACGTCTCTGAGAAAATCAGCAGGACAAGATCGCTTCAGCATTTTGCGCAGATATCAGAGGTTTGCTTCGTAAAACAATGTGTGAAGCGAGAGATGATTAGTTTAATACCGAAACAAAATATTCTGAATAATTTAATTTAATATTTACACAGATGGCTCAAACACATAATAACAACAGTGGCAGCAGGTTTGTTGGATTCTGCTAGAACAGAAAGAAAGTGAAATAATTTGTCAGGTTTCAGTGTTTAACAAACAGCAACGACAGATTTCAGTATTTATCGATCCAACGCGTGCTTTAAAAGTATCCAACGGAACTATTGATACACCAAATTACTATTTCACCTAAAATAATAACATCTCCCTCGAAAAAGCTTAATAGTAAAGTCGTTAGAGACAGGAGGTTAGACTGTAATAAATGCTGTGAACAGACATCCATCAGTTCTGGTTTACTCCCAGTATCCTGCCCAGTAAACACTGGCTGGGGTCCAGTTGGACTCTTAAACGTGCGGGCCTGAAAAAAGGCTCTGCGAGAGATTTTCTTCTCAAACTGAGCGATAATATTTTTCCTAGTGTGGCTTTAACACGCCGTCGTGGGTTTTTACGTACACAGGTGTAAATAAAAGAGTATTTGTTTTATAAGCGCTGCCCTGTTTCACAGAAAAATGGTGCTTCGGTACTTAAAAAGTCCAGTAAATCGCAGCTGTGAGTAGTTTCGTGGATGCGTTACAGCCGCGGAACAAGGCGTGAGGAGAAACACCTGGTTCAGGTTACGGAAATAACAGCCAAGTCAGAGTTCCGCATAATTTCAACACTGAAAGAAGTTGACAGACAAAGTGTCCTCGGTGTGTTTGTAGGACAGCAGCTGGACGGCGATGGGAAACTGGGAGAGCTTCAGACGAGACAACAGGGAGTCCCGAAAGGAGCCGGTTGGAAAAGAGCCCGACGTGCCCGAGATTACAGTGACGGAAGCGTCGCCGCTCGCTCCAGAGAGATCTTTCTTTAGCGCACCCGGGCCTGCTCACACTGGCAGGACGGGGCAGGTACTGACTGCTGCTGAGCAGGCTGAGTCACAGGGAAGCCTGAGCGCAGCAGAGGGGCTTAGTGTGACCATGCGCAGAGAGTCCCAGCACAGGTGTCCCTTTGGCCCGGAGTCACAGGAGGAGGAG